AAAAAATTATAAATTAATTTGGATTAATTGATTATGTGATTTATTTAATTATATAATATTGTTATGTAACTTTGATACGTCATGTGACGTGATTTTTTTCAGTAGAGAGGAGCACATTATCTTATTTATTATAATATTTTTAAAAGCAAAATTGCAAAATTTGCTCTTAACAGGTTTCGTAACTTTGTAAAATATAAGTCAAAAAAAGTTTGCATGGTAAAATATTATTAATTCTATACTACAATATATGATATAGTGCAGACCTGGTTAACAAACTGATGTTTGTTATTTTAACATCAAAATAATGTCAGCTTATCACATGAAGATATGTTTTTACACCTCAAATAAGGCGTATGTGAGTTGGCTTCTCACTTTTGTCGATCCTTCTAAATTATAATCTTACCTTGGTAATTGGACGGTTAAGGCTTCTGGGCAATCAAAGTTACATGAAGGACAGGATGCTTCTCTAGGAATCCTTCGAAACGATCCGCAAGCTAGGATCACACTCACGGACAAATAAAATAACAAATAGCGACAAGAAATTTGTCTCGACATACTTAAAAGATTCGAATAAGGGAACCATGACGATTTTCTTTATATATAAGCTCTCACGTTAGGGAAGCAGCGAGGACACACGATGATGAAAACAAAAATTTTTTCCGCGTTGCATCAGTCGCTTCCTGTATACATCCGTTAATTTTTACGTGAATTGTTCGCTTATTTCTTTTACAATTTCTTAATATTCACTTCCTTATTCTTTTATTTTCAGGCGAGATAGAGGTGACGATATAATATCGCAGAAATCTTTGGATGTAGTGAAAATACTTATACATTTTTTAAAAGAACGTAAGTCTATTTCATGTATATTACAAATGTATGTACATATTTCTTGTTATAAGTGCAGGAAAATTTCTGACTTTTTCACATCTCACAAAAAATTAAAAAAAGGCCTTTAAAACATTTTGAAAAAATTTACACGAATCGCAGACATTATAACAAAAGCGTTTTCTCTTTTATTTTCTTGTAAACTATTAAGTTTTTCAATGTTAAAACATTTTGTAAAAATGAGCTTTTAAAGAAGAAATAATATTTGACGTTATTTTAAAAAATCATCATATTATTTTTTTAAAAGATTATTTTAGGCTTTGAAACTTTCTAATATAATAGAAAGCCTAGTTTAAAATACATATTTGTTAACTTTTGCTCAATAATGTTGCATCAAAATATAAGTAAAATAGAAATACTGAAAAAATATCAATTTTTAATTTTATGTGATTTGGTAATAATGAAATCATAAAAACAAAATAAAAAAACAAATTTTTATCTCTATCTCTTTTCTTTATAAACATTTTTTTTTATTTCTGTATAATTTTTTTACACCGAAATACTTATATATTATAATTTACGTACGCGCGCGCGTACATGTATATCGTATGTTCTAATAATATACAATAATTTAAAATAATTTTAATTTCTGCATTGAAGATGCTAGAGTGGAAGGATTATTTCGACGAGCAGGACGTCGCGAAGTTCGACGATATATCCTGAATTCTCTGAAAAAAGGCCATAAACCGCATTTTGAAAATTCAAATAATGCTGCTTTGGAATGCGCGGCAGCTTTACAAATTTTTCTCAGCCACTTAAAGAAACCAATAATGCCACAGCACGTACAAGAATTAATTCTTGGTAAATATTAACAAAGATAAATGTAAGAAGTAAAAGTAATAAATGTATAAGAGAACGACGTTGAATATTTCTCGTAATTATATTAATTTAACTGTCGCTTAAAAATATGCTTAAAATGCAACGTCCTTCGAAAAATGAAATGTTTACAAATTCAACGTCAGCAAAACATCAGTTCTGGTGAATTACGATATCGTAATGTTAAATCTAAAATTAAAATTTTTATAAAAATAAATCTTTGATGATTTAAAAAAAAATTTTTGCTCTATTTTATATCTTATAATTTTTAGTATAATAGATTTTCAATTGACATTTCAGTTTTTAATATTCGATCTTACGAGTATATATAATTAAATATAACTTATTAATATTAATTATTATTTATAATATTAAAGATATTTTGAGAACTTTATATATTCTATGTGAATAGTATAAATACGAGCTTTAATACTTATATATGATCAGCTGATAATCCAGGTGTGGAAGCACAAGTTATCGCACAAGATGCTCTAGGACTTATTAGACAAGATGTTGGTGGTCGTCATTGCGAGCTTTTGACTCATGTTTTGGATCTTTTAAGACATTTAACTCTCTCAGGACCTCCCTCTGAATGTTCCGAATTGCGCGGATCACCATTACCTGTTGCGCTTTTACCAGTGTTTTTTAAATTATCCGTAATAATAAATTATTTATAATCCTTCATTGGTATATTGAATCAATTTATTAAAAAAATTGTTTAGCTTTAAAGATCTTGTACAATTCAATTCTGAATTACTCTTTTTAACATTGAGAATTTGACTTATTATTTGATATCACTCTTAATTTTTTTTTAATTGGAAAAAAAACTATTTAAATCCAATCTCATAAAATGCATTATGTTAAAAATGTTTCTTTCAAATAATTTATTTTGGTTCCATTTTATAGCCTGGTGATTTAATAAGATGGAAACAAGTGGCGGCCAGATTTAGCGAATTAATTACGGAAGCTGCAGCACAACTCCGTCGCGATGAACAACATGACATTTATACGGAAACTATAAATTCCATGACGGGTTACACCGATGTAAGAAATCTTCACTAGAAAAACAATTACAAATCCATTAACATTCCTTAATTAACTTAATTTTGAGTCATATTTAATTTAATATTGTAATTGCTCTTGGTGAAAAATAGTCGCGATCATTTGTTACTTATGTATTTTTAGACAGCTTCGACTTCACAAGAGGAAGATGAAGAATTAATTAGATGGCAAGAGTTTTCGTTGTTGTATCCTATCGTTCGACTTAGAGATCATTGTAATATTTGTAAGATATTAATATTTTAATTTCACTAATAGATAAATGTCCATTTTGTCATTTTGCAAAATATTCATCATTATTTTAAGCTATTATTTACTATCAAGGATCCTAATTAGTCACCACAACTATATTGAATCGTGACATAGTTAGAAGCGACACGTCATTTTTATTACGTTTGTAAATAAAAGACAATTTGGATAAAATAAAATAATAAGATTACTTACAAATAATTTAAAAAATTAATGAAATACTCTTATCCCATCTGACAGTCAATTAATAATCATAAAAAGTGCATCATGAAAGTCATGTGCAAGTGAAAATAGGCTACGCAATATTTTATTTGAATAAAAGAACTTCAGATGTCTTTTATCACTTTTTACGATTATTTACTTGATTATCAGGAAGAATAAGAATAATTTTCATAAATCTATTTTCATAAATAATATTTGAAGCAATCCCATCATTTTGCTTTTATTTACAAATAGCAAGTAATAAAAATTAATGTAATTTTCCGCTTCTGACGTCATGATTCAATGTAGATGTAATGATAGTCGGATAATCTAGCGATCATATAGCTTTATCCCTAAAACGGAAATGTAAAAAGTGAAATTTTTTTGTATGTATGTGTATATATGTATATACATATACATGTAGTTATTAATACATATACACATAAAAATGTTCACTTTTTATGTTTTTGTTCTAAAGAAAAAGCTACATGATATCCTTCAAGAGTCTTAATAATAGGAATACTAATGATTTGGTTTACTCTCTCTAATAAAACGTTTATTAACGATTTAACAAAATTTTGCTGACAGGTCACGTTGGCGAAATGGCACGTGTTCTTACTACATCGTTACAACGTCCAATCGTTGGCAGGTTACATCCGGCAATTGCTAATTCTAATTAAAAATTTGTATCAATTGATGTGCGAAATATTTTCAGATTCAAATTACTGTATTTATATATTGTCTTAATTTTGTTTATGTAAATTGATTAAATACCTCAATTATATTTTAATTAAAATATTACGTTCACATGTGTTGCTGGTGAATAGTAACAACTATCGATCTAATTAAAAGTAACTGGATCAATTCTAAATAGAAACTTAAGACTCTTAAAACTTGTAAGAACTTATGATTGATACTGTAATTCTATGCTATGTATAAGATGTACGATTATTTGTAAATATCTACGATTTCTCGTAAATCTTATACCTAGCAAGAAGCTGTCTGTAAAGATATTAGTTGCAAGCGCTTGTAAGTTCTTATAAGTCTTATAAAAATATGTTACAGGCTTTACGATTTTGCTTAAAATTAAGATCCGTAAATAAATTGTATCTATAGTATAAAATGAAGATGTTTATTTAAATAAAGAATTATTTGCAAACACATATTTTCATATTTTTTCTAGTGCTTCTATACATCAAACTGCAAATAAAATGTTTCATACATTATAAATAAATTCACCGTAGAATTTTACACGATAAAATTAATTTATTGCTAACGAGCGCGAGCAAAATGTAAATAAAACGTTTCGCATATGTAAGGTGTGATCAAAGTGTGTGGTTAAGATTTACGATTTAAATTCCAAAATTTAAATAATATATGCCATTTTGTGGAATAATTTAAACAAACTGTTTTTAGGCATTTCTAAAATTTAACTGTATAATTGTATACGGAGTACGATATTTTTAGGTGTATTCTATATGAAAGTACGTAAAAAATCGTTTTACAGCAAGCCTACGTATGGAACGTGTATGAAACTACACCTATGTACACATTCCAAAAAATGCAGTAATCAATTAGACATATTCTTTTAATAAAAATAATATCAAAACCTTTTTTCATTTAAAATTAAAATCATTATTATGATAATTATCTTCTTTTCAGGTTTTTTTTTCACAAAAAAGATACTAGTTACTAAAATTAGACTAATAATAAATTTTTATAAGCTGTATTTACATTTTCTAAAATTATTTTGTATTTTTTTTTAAAGAAAAACTATATAAGTTGTTACTACAAAACCACTGATTAACTAGTATAGAATTTATTTAAAGAATATATCATGACTGATTTGTGCATTCTCTAAGACAGATAAAAGATGGTCATAACTGAGAATGCCACTCCTTCGTATATTAATCGCGGAGCAATAGAAAACTGCTGCAGAGCTCAAAATCAATTGTTGTACTAATTGTGGCTACGACCAAGAAAACCACGATCGTTGTGTTGGCGACTTTGGTGTGGTTGGCATAGATGAGGATGGTGTACCGGTCTGTTTCTCATCAAGTTGATTTTTCAGTCTAACCTTTTCATTTGTTTCGGTTTGCATCTTTTGCTCATATTGTCGTACATCTTCCAGGTTCATATCACACCACTCGTCAATCCAGGCAAATGCCTGTCTATGACCTAGCACTAGAATATCCCTTATACACTGAAATCAAATAGAAAATAAAATAATCAATAAGTCAATAATAAATGTACTTTCAGTGAGAAAGAGATTTTACTTAGTATTATTGTTCTTTGAATATTGCATTCAATCTATATATCAAGAAATGGTTGCAAATTCATATAACCTTGTATCACACTAAATATTAAATATTTTTTGAACAGTCATGGCACTATTTATATAACTATAAAAAATATTACTAAAATGTAAAGTAGGTGATTGGTTAATTAGACAAACTTACTCTATGTATAAAATCTTCTACTCGCGTTTGCATGCCCCAGACTTCGAACGAGGCATGAACCAATTTATACGAGCACATTATGGGTTGCGTTGTGTCCCTCCAACCTTCAACCAGAGGACCACGGCCTGTTCTTTTCGATTGAAAGTATTTTGGGTCCTGTTATGATTAAAGCATCTTGATTAGAATTAAAATTTAATATATTAGGAATTAAACATGGATGAAATTATGGTGGCAAACCTACTTCCTCCTCTTTGTAATGTTTTGCAGTAAGCTCGTCATATGCAATATCTACAAAATCGACTTCTCGATGGATCAATTCCGTGGGTGACAGCCCTAAGCACTACAATTTAATAATGATAATAGAATTATTATTATTCTATTATTAAATAAAAAATAATAGCAAAATGTATATTATGAATGTGATGTAATAATAACAGCTATTTACATTTTCTGTGGAGCCATTGTTATCTTCATACCGTGTGTTTATTGCTATATGGAATTTTGGCATAAAGGAGCACTAAAAGAATATAAATTTATAAATAATATAAAATTTTATATATGGCAATATTCATACTGAATGTTACTCACAGTGTAGTCTGCAATCACCAGAAAGGAAGAAACATGCAAGAAAACAAAAACATTAAAAGAGTTTAATTACTTTCTTTTTTTTCTTTTAGAAAACTACTATTGTAAGATTCGAAAATTATTGTTTTTATCAAAGTCAAAAAGATAGTCAGATTATTTCCAACTTCTAAAGTAATGTATGTAAAATTTGATAAAAAAATAATTACAGTTTACAAAGTTTTATACAAAAGTAAATAAAGGTTATTTCTATAGTAATTTCTTTTTAATGCTGAGTCCAAATTTGCCATTAAAATATTTCCATCAGATCTTGTTTTCAAAATATAAGAAAAGATTTTTTTAAATATATAGTGAAATTTTATTGAAATTACAAAACAAATTAGAAAAAATAATTAACTTTCTTTTGAATAATAAAAATTATTCTAAATTTGTAATCCAATACTGTGATTATATTATGCAAATAAAGCAAAATATACCTGTTATAGTAAAGGGATAATAATTCCATGCTTTTTCTGTCACGTAAAATATTCGTGGTAAGATGGATTGAATCCAATAAGGGAGTTTACTGAAAAGAAAAAAAATGACAGTAAAGTGTTTGTTTCAAGGAACCGTTATGAAGCTCCTATATAAGACATTTTTCAAGTAGAACATATCCTTGTTTGCTAACATAAAACAAGGGTGAAATAATTCACGTGTTACACTTCATCCTTTCTGAAGTGTCTATACCTGTTGTAGTGCTGTGAATATTTCATACGTCATATATTTAAAAACAAGACTTACCTGGACAAATGGATCCTTTTTTCAGTATACTGGCCCTTTCCATGAACAGGATCCTCGCAGACGGTATTTTCAACCACCTCCACTCCTTCGTCGTTATCGGATTGTTCATGACTATGTCTGGCGATCATGTATAGTTGGCCGATGCGATACTATACAAAGAAATTAATTGATCACTACGAAGTAATTCTTATTAAGAATAATCTTTCAACACGCAAAACAAGAAAAAACGTACGATAGACAACGGTAATTATCAAACGAATAGGGTAAATACTTCCGTTTATCGAATAAATAATTAAATAAGGTTACCTCCTCTGTAGTGAGCGGCATGCAAATACGGTACTCCTTTGTAAGGACCATCCTCAGATTATTTCCGATGAAACGTAGCGATTATCCGTTTCACGTGCGTCCTCACTGGAGGAGCGACACAATTCTATATATATGTTCTGTAATAATTCTTGTGATTCTTCACGTCCAAACGTCCAATATTACATAGGATAAACAACCCGCGCGCAACAGCGACTGCGGCGACGAGAAGTTTGGTGGAATTCGTCGTTTCGCGCGGTGATCGATGAGAACAGATCGACAACCCGCTGGCGGAAAAGTCACAGCTCGACAGTTCGTGTGGATTGGCAGCGCGACAGTGTATTTCGCCGATTTCCCCCAGGCGCGCGCTCGCCGCCGACTTGGCACTTGGCCGACTGCCGACGTGCCGACACTGCCGACAGTTTCACGCAGTTTCACGCAGTTTCACGTGTTACGTGGATAAAGATTGTGTGTGTAGACGACGAAGACGAAATCGCGTTTGCGGGCAACGATGTGCAGGTAACATTGCCGCGCGCATCGGTGCGACATGCGATGGTGAAACGAGCAGAACTAGGGAGCGGGGTGTGTGCAGCTGCGAGGTCTCGGTGCGAACGAAGGAACACGGGCGTGAGGTCGCCGACAATCGATGCCAATGGCCTACGAAGCGTTATGGCACGAGTACAAGCAGATGCCTGTGGTGACGCGGGCTTATACCACAGCCTGTGTTATCACGACCCTTGCCGTGGTATTTATCTCGCGTGTTTTTTTTTTCTTTTTACCCCTTTCAACGACTTCGCCGTCGGCCGCTAGTCGCGCAGGTCCAAACTCCAAATCCCTTAAGTACCTTATATTTTCAAATTCTCTCTTTATCTGTTCTCTCGTAAGATTCAATCAAGTCTTACACTTGAACACATTTAATGACTCAGCATTTACCATCTGTCTCTGATGACTGTATAAAAATTACATTATACAGAGAGAAGCTTGATAATCGGGAAATAATTTTAATTTAATGAATATAATAGATTTTATTGAACTTATAAAATATATTTGTTTGTTAGCAATGTATAACTATTTTAAATGTTTCAGCAATTAGACTTGGTATCCCCATTTCAATTGTATTTCAATCCCATTCTTATTGTGGAGCAGTACCAGGTACGAAAATATAGATATGCAAATAGTTATGTAAAGTTGGCTTTATTATATGAAAACCTTGGCAAATAAAAAAACTTAAGACTTGAGAAGTAAAGAAATCAACATGTTGGATTTGTTACTGCTTGTATTATGGTCTTGTGGTTTTTATTGTAATTAGTTAATTCTCTTATTGCTCAAGTTTTATGTCTTAAACTTTTCTATGTGCCATGGTTTTAAGAAAATTTGAAGGTTATTATCATCATTAGAACAAAATTTATAATTAGACTTAACAAAAATAAACTTTTTGTCAAGTTCATTTTTTATCAAGTGTAACAATACAATCATAAGTTTCTTATAGTATTACACTGGATTATTTCAGATATGGCGATTAATAACAACATTTCTCTTCTTTGGAAATGTTGGATTCAATTTATTATTCAATATGATCTTTACATATCGATATTGCCGTATGTTGGAAGAAGGATCCTTCCGCAGAAGAACAGCTGATTTTGTGATGATGTTTATCTTTGGTGGATTATGCATGATTGTATCCTTTACAAAATATTAATCATTATAATTTCAATAATAATTATATTTATGACAACATTCTATTATATTGATTACAATACTAATATATAATATAATATCTTATTAAAAATATCAAAATAGGAAAGGGCACACTTTAATATTTTATTAATTAAATTATATTTCTATCTTGATAATAATTAAAATTAACAGTAGTAAAAAAAATATATAATATAATTATTAGCGTTGCTGTTAAACAAAATGTTCTTTTTTAAGAGAATACGTTTGTCTTTGTTTCTTAACTATTTATAGACTTTTGCATTCTTCGTTAATTTGTTGTTCTTGGGGCATGCATTCACGATAATGTTGGTGTACGTGTGGTCACGACGAAATCCTTTTGTCAGGATGAATTTCTTCGGACTTTTAAACTTCCAAGTAAGTCCAATTTAAAGAAATGTACATATTACAGACATCTTTGTTTTATTAATATTATGTAATTAGGTATTACATAATTATTCTGTTTGTTCAATAAATAGTCATGTTAATTAACTACGACTTTGATTTTTCAGGCTCCGTATTTACCATGGGTGCTATTAGGATTTTCTGTATTGCTTGGTAATACAATATGGGTTGATCTTGTAGGAATGGCGGTAGGGCATACTTACTATTTCGCGGAGGATGTATTTCCCCGGTTAAGAGGTGGTTTCCGAATTCTGAAAACTCCTCAAATACTGTAAGTAAACTTAAAACTAAAATTAAGATTAAAATTATAATGGTAAAAAAAAATCATGATTATATCATATATTAGGGATGATTATTAGAATATTTGGTATTATACTTGTTTGCTGTTCGGTCGGATAGTTGGATGTCATTAGTATTTGGTAATACATTCAGCTGAAATTTTATATTGAAAGTTTGCATCATTTATACATAAATTTATTCTTTTCAACTGAACTTCTTGCACAATTTATTTTTCCTCTTTCTTTTCATGTTGGGAAGATAAAAAAAATATCGTTATTTTTTTCTTTTGAAAGCCTTTTATTTACTGACTTGAGGGAACAAGGATAGCTTTCATCCATTTTTATATTTGTTTTAAAGCGATCTCATTATTTTGTTTTATCCATATTATCTTTATTTGGTTACAAATGATGGGTAATAAAAATTAATGTGTCATTTCTCGCTTCTGATGATTATACACCCAATATAACTATAATATGACTACTCAGGAGCCTTAAGCCAAAATCCGGTAATTTTTATATCCATTCTTCTCTTTATCGTGACATGTCTTAAAGTCATGTCACGATAAAGTGTAGTAGTATAGTAATAGATAAGCGATAGACTATCGATGAAAGAAATAATATAATTTTTCTTTCTTATAGAAAGACTTTGTTTGATGCATATCCTGAGGATCCAGATTATATGCCACCACCTGAAGACCGGCCAGGAGGCTTCAATTGGGGACAGGAAGCCAATGTACAATAATCGAAAAATTTAACATTCTCTTCTTGATGCTGTTTCTTATGTCAAATTGTCCGAGGGCATTGCGAAAACGCATGTTTCTGTCATTGTTCCTTTCGAATTGTGTATGACAAATTTTTAGTGCCCGGGTTTGTATGCAAAGATGTATGAGATACACGTAAAAGATAATATATAATATATAGGGTGTATAAGAGATCGAGCGATTTCATTTCATTAAAGATCTTTCGAAAACCATAATAAAAGCATACGTTGATATTTTTTTAAAGCGAAAATTCGATATCTGATTTTACTTAAATGCACAACAATTTATTTAAATACACTTATTGCGATTAATTATCTTCAATAATAATCGAATTGTTGTTAAGAGAGAAAGTCAACTTCAAATTTTTTAAGGAATTAATAAATATACATACATGTGGCTTCTAGCCCTTTCTTTTATATTTATTAATTTTTTAAACTTTTAAGTGTCAGTATCTGTATATAATTATTGACTTTTCAAGGAATTTTTAAGATATGAGAAAACGCGCGAGTATTTATACACTCTGCATATAGTCGAAAAAGCTACAAAGAAACGCACTTAAATATCAGCAAGTTTTATTGATTTCCCTAAATGCCATTTACACATTCATACGTGTTTTTCGATATTCGTTTCTGTGTACAAAATTCGGATTCCATTAATATTAGCTCTTCGGAAGCCAAGCGTTGTGTTTTTAGTGCAAACAATATGAATTGTTTTATTCAGAATATAAGGCCGCGAACTTTGTTTTTCAGTCATAAATTCTTTATTAAGTTTAAAATGAGTTAAAATTGTAAGATTAGTAATTTTAGTTGTTATTGGATATTTCAGTTTAAGCTATTTATATGATCCTAATGTCATATATGTATAGTAGCTTATTTCATTCTAAACATATACGTAGCGAGTAAGAAGTCTCTTAGTAATAACAAATATTAAAATTTGTCATATTTTGCAGATTTATATCTGCAGAATTCAAAATTCTCTAAATTGATAAGATAAAATTTGTATGTATGCGAATGCAACTGAATTAGCATTCCGAGGGTTAAACCCTCTGTCGCGAGAGATTAAACTTCCGGTTCAGCACGGGAATTATAATTTTTCACTCGCAAATTAATTAAATTTATTGAAAATGTCATTTTTGTAAGATATTTTCGATCAATAGTAATTTTGTGATACACTAACCATGTTTGTTGTTCTTACAAGTATCGATGGAAGAGAAAAAAAAATGCCATTGTGACAGGGAGACTATTTTAAATTGTACTAAAAGGCATTTATTTATATTTATTATTGTAGCGAAGTGTAATCTAGGTAACATTTGCAAAGTACAAATCGTTAAATATAAACTATAAAGAAATAATATATACACACTTCCTATAATTTGTTCATACGTGTATATTATGTACTATATGAATATAACGAAGATTTTGCATTGGTAATTAATAACTGTCGCTTCTTTTTTTCGTTACCTTTTCATTGCGAGGACGATGGAAAGGTAATATTTTTTTTCTAATCTATTATATAATCAATTAGTCAATTACTCTGTAACAAAATCTATGTTTTATTTCTTCAAGATCTTCAACTATACAAATTTTTTAAAGCATGAGTTAAGTTTTAGTGTATTTTTGCATCTTGAATTTTTTCCAAGTACAAGTAATAATTAACTTGAATGTAAGTTTTTCTGTGATTCTGGTGAGCGCTATTATTTGCTCGTGTATAATTATGATCCTAAGCTAAACCAGTTGTGAATTTTTAACATAGGTCACCTTTGAATGTTAATGCAAATATATTTTACAGTATACTGATTTAAGCAAAGAAATAAGAAATTTAGACTCCCGTACGATTGCGAGGAATAATATTGTTCTAGTTCTAATAGCAATTTCTAAGATCCTCAGGGGGATTTTAAATCTTTTAAATTTATTTCTTTTGAATATTAATGTCTATAACGTTTTAATTTCTTAAATTTGCGCATATTTAAATCTTTTCTTATATCTTTGGCTTCCAGGATCGTAGTATGGCTTTTCCTTCGCACGATGTATTTCTTGAATTTTTAGCCCGATGAATATTTAATATATTATATTTGTAATTCTGAACGTGGATGTTAAATTTAAATTAATTTTGGAATTTCTGATCATTTCTCAAACATTATTGTAATATAATTAAAGACGATTATTATATAATTAAAGACGATCGATTCCTATTAGGTATTTGTATTAACTCTTTCAGTATCTTGTTAAGTGTGTGTAAAGACTATACATATAACGTAACAGTTCCGTTAATCTTGATCAATCTAGTCTCAAAATATTTTTTTTATTTCTAAATGTAAATGTTTTTTATATCTAAAGACAAATTTATTGAAATGTATGATATATGGCACTTCAAATGCTGAAGGAGTGAATCAACAAGTACATCCGCAATCGCCAAAGAGTACACGTTAATAATTATCAAAGAGCTGTAAAGAAAATAATAATGAGTAATATAAGAAATGATTTTACAAAACCATTTATTTCGATTTAAATAATAAATGATTAGCATAATAGGATTAATATAATGATGTATAACTAAATACATATACGCAATGACATGGACTATAATACAATGATCATCAGGGCTCTATTGTACACTTGTTTCTTATTGTTTTTATCATATCGCCACTGTTGCTAAAAGCACCGTAATATCATCCGGTTTACCACCTGAAAGATTCAAAATCTATCTTTGCATGCTCTTTTAGATATATTTACACATACACATATGCACACACACATTAAGTATCTTTAACTTAAATTTTATTTATTTTTATTTATATTGATGAATTAAGTCCAAGCGCAATCAATTCAAGAAAATTTTCATTTAATGTTAAATTTCTTCTATGTGAAAGAAAGAAAGGAGGGGGAGGGAGAGAGAGAGAGAGAGAGAGAGAGAGAGAGAGAGAGAGAGAGATTTTCTTTACATACCTATTGCATCGATCCCATTCTCACGGGCATTTTGAGCAAACGGAGACATAAAGGCGCCATCAAAAGCCAAACGACGCGCCATCCACGCTATCGTGTTAGCGACACACTGTATTTTCGTTGGATCTCTCTCGCCCTCAATTTTACGCATCTCGGTGACTAGCAACTGGTCAGGCACATTGTCGAATACCCCATCGGTTGCCAGAAGGATCACATCGCCGTCCTCGACACCAAAACTCGAAGTGTCGGCGGATTCTGGACTGAAAAGAAAGGAAACATAATTATAATTATAAATAATGCTTTTTCACGGTAATCTTGTGTATAACAAATATATAAAAATATACAGAGATATATAAACAGAATATATCATTATATATTTTTATATTATAGACATAATAAAAAAAAATATCTACCTGTCGCGAAGTACTAGATCAGAGTGTCCTGGAGGTGGCAATGACAATTGGAAAGGAGTATTGAAATAATGTTGTTGCTCTGAGGACCGATGTACTACTTCTCCCCTTCGTACGACTACAAAACCGCTGTCTCCTATATTGGCTGCATAAATGCTGCTCGTTTCTTTATTGAGAATTATTACACATGCGGTACTGCTACCTGTATGCCAAAGAAATAATCAATGTTAGAAATAATCTTAAAACATTTATGAATATATTATTATCTCTAATTTTTTTTATTAAAAGCAATTTGTTTACCTAATATTGGTTGTTTATTTTCTAACAATTCATAATAACTACGTGCTAATAAACCAGCTGGTTCTGTAGGTGTAAATCTACCCATGGAGACCAGCCTTTCACACGTTCTCATTAGGAAATTAGAAAACTCTCCTGGATCGATTCCATAGTGTCGCCATCCCCCTACACCATCAGCCACACCTGAAGCATAACAAATAATTAATACCCGTATAAGGTAAGTATCTAAAAAAAACTGCTAGTCAATTATATATATTTTTATGTATGAAACTTTACCTGAAAATTTAAAAACAAAATTTTTATACACATTATATATTTAATATAATTATATAATTTTAAGCAAAATCTAGATATTTTTAATAAGAATTATCTACGCATAGAATTGTTAACTTAAAATTATTATTTTATATAAATAATTTAATAAAGCATATTTATACCAACAAGGTATAACAATTATGCATTTTTATAGACGTACATAAGACTTAGTTAATTAGATACTTTATACTTATACAATCTTTTTATTTTTATTTTTTCATAATTTTCTTCTATTTTTCTTTGCTCGAATGAATATATATAGTTATTTAATTTTAAATATAGCAAATATACTATAATAATATAGTTAAAAAATATATCTTTTTTTTAACAATATACTTGAAATCTGAATTGTCTGTGATTTAAGAATTTCACATTGTTACAAAATCATTGTCCTTTTAGAAACAAAGTATAAATCCCATCTACAATTGCATAAGTGTAGTTGCCAAGTAATTGGTAGTAAGAAATGATCAATCATGATTGAATATTTGATTGGATTTTACAATTATACCTACTTATAGCTATGTTTACATAATTATAGAAAATGTTTTAGACCATTCTTTTCAGCTGTACTGAATAAATCATCGGTAATCAGATTGAAACAGCAACATACAAGATTTGAAAAAAGAGAGAAGAAAAAATCAAAAGTATAAAAATTAGTTAAAAGCCTAATCTACAATATGCTCTTTGTTTCCTGTTTTTCTTGATTTTTATCACTTCTTGCTCTTTTTGGATCTTATCCAATTTTTTAGTTTTCTGTTGTCTCAGATAAAAATTGACAAACTTCAGAAGAAATAAGAAATACATGAAAAAAATGCGATTGTCAATAAAACTATTGCAAAGAAGAAAAGAAGCATGAGGTAAGAAGCAGGAAAAAGAAGCAAAGAACATGTAGCTTGGACCGAAGAGAAATTCCTTAGCTACTTTATTGTCAGGCCTTTTGTTAGACCTTTAAAAAGATACGTGGAATTTGGAGAAAGAAAGACAAGAAGAAAACTTGGAGATGCAACTAGAAGAAACAAATTTAGTTAGTATGCATAACGCAAGCTTAGAGGAATTGGTGATCACAGGCACTTTGATCCCACCTATGACTTCGGCTGTCTTGAATCTAGCAGTAAACCAGGCATCGTCGCCAAACTGGCCTCTGCGTATCCGACTACGGGCAAAGTCCTTCGGAAAACCGCACACGGCGGAGACAAGCGAGGCCTCGTGGCGCCTGCTGCTCACGATAGCCGTGCTTGACTGTTGCTCGCTACTGCATGCAGAGCTGTAGCTCGCGATGCCGTTCCAGAGCGCGCGCGATAGCAATCGTCCAGTCCAGTAGATGGATTGCATTGCAATTTTAACACACGGATATTATCACTCACGATGACGACGACAAAGACCAGCGTGTGATCAGCATCAGCGAAATCGGCAGCATCACGGCACACATTCCTTTTGCTCGTTCTGTTTCACTTTCCGGCTCACAAATCTCACAATTATCTCGCCGACTCACAGTCGTTTCGATGCTATTGCCATCCTTCCTTTTTCTCTCTCTCTCTCTCCTCTCTCTTTTCTTTTTACGCGCCTTATTAAGATTCGCGGTCGAGGAACCGTGCGAAACTGGTCACGAGTCACGAATAATCTGTCCGTGTTGCTTGCACTTTTTGCACTCAATATCTGCGCATTTTCTCTTTTCAACGCCTAAATTATGTATATCTTTATTAGTTTAAAAATTTTTGAGGATTTCAAGCAATGGGAACAAACTTAATAGGTCTGTTCTAACTAAATGTTCTTGCACAGTTTAGCTTTCTTTCTTTTCTCATCACGTTAAGAGAGAGAAGATGAAAAGAGATAGGCTACGTTCCGTTTCAGGCATATGCGCGCATTTTATAATAGTGAGCGTTACGTATACTATAGGGGAATGCGCGCATATGCGTGAAACGGAACGCAGCCCTAGACTTCTTTTACACCGTAAAACCCTATGTTCATGATGGTAAAACTCGGTCCGAGTTCTTGGATCCAGAATTGTGTAGCCAATCAATATGTAGTTTTTACGGAAAGACAGTAAGTTGATTGGCTACACACATTTTTCGGTCCGAGAATTTGGACCGAATTCTAGTACCGTGGATGTGGACATACCAACTATCAACCAGGGTTTAGTCCGTGCCGTCCGCAGAAGTGATTAGGTGCATCCAGAAGCACGACCGCTCACTAAGCGCTCAATGAGCTTTTTTATCTGATTGGCATATTCCATTAGATCTAAAAATATAAACCAAACAGGTACAAGAGCTCACTTAGCGCTCAGTGAGCGGTCGAGCAGTCGTGCTTCTGAATGCACCCATTGAGATTATTATGTGAATGCGACGGAATGGTTAATGTTTGATAGAAATGTTGGAGGATATAGATAGTGTTGATGATAAACGTTTTAGTAATGCATTTAGAAAAAATCCACCCGTTGAAAATAGCAGGAAAAGAATTACATTTGCAGGTTTAATTAAAAAAAATTAATCAATATGCATTTTTATAAGTTATTTCTTTTTAGAAGTTATTATCTGAGTAGGGCATTTGAAAACGTTTAACAAAGTTTTTGTAGTTTTCTTATATTTTATAAATATATAGATTATTTTATGTTTCACTTTTATAGATGAGGATGATCCATTGGTCAGTTTGCTAAATGATAAGGAGGATTTGTTATCGAGTCAAAAGATTCCAATAGCAGCAAAAGAAAAGCGAAATGTACTAGATGATTTGTTCAGTAAGAAAACTTCTGAATTATTGAGTTCGAAGTCTGAAAAGGAGATTGGCTTGATGTCTGCATTAAATACTACAGAAATGGAAAGACCAAAGTCAGATGATAAGGCCAAAAAATTATCATTAATGCAAGATCTATTTGGAGATATGAATACAACATTACCATTGAAAGAATCAGTTAGTAAAAGATCTGTACAATTGGAATTGGATGTTACACAACATTCAGCTGAAGTTTCTAAGACACAATCACAGCATTCAACATATGCACCAACGTCTTTTGGAACAAGAGAATCTCGTAGAGGCAAAAGAACTTCGGAGATCATCAATGACCCTCTAGGATTATTTTTCTTGGATACATCAAAAGCTGAGCAGACTGTAAATATAAATTCTTCAGGTTTACATATGTTCTAAATGTCTGATAATATTTAATTTTGTTTTCTACTTATGCTTGATGATTCTCTTATAATTTCAAAGACAACAGAAAAACGTACAATGTCTACAGATCTTGATAAACAGAAATTAGAAATTAAAGAACATTTACCAAATTGGTTAGAACCTAAAAAATCAGAAGATAAGAAAAGTAGTGATTATGTTCAGGATAGAGTAACGCCTACCGAAGAATTATTTAGCAAACATAGGAGATCTAGTTCTGATAAAATTATTCAAGATGTAAGCAGTATCATGATATATAGTAAAAAATATTGTTTTAATTATTCACACATAATAAATATTGATAAACAATTATTCATTACAGATACCACAAGGCGATAAGATAATGGTAACTAAATCACTGCCACATGAGAAACAAAAATTGTCAAATTTATCAGATAATCAAGAGATAGAAATCAATGAATATGAAAAACAGGAAATTGAAGAAAATTATTCTAAAGCAAGTCTTTAAGAGTTAATCATTTTAATAAAAAAAATTTATATCTATGATTATTTTGTAATTAAAATTTATTTAAGAATGCCAATGGTTTATAGGTTATCACTGTTTCGTGATCTATTATTAGACATTAGCAATTAATCATGACACTGTGATAATCCATAGACCCTTTGGACATCTCTGAAGAAAATATTTGTGAAAATTTCAGAAATATAATTAAAATTTATATTTAATCTTGTAGCAATCCAACACAAAGGTTCCAATTACTTCTGATATAAATACAAATTCGGAAGATGTGCGTAGTATCCTAATTCCTAAAAGAATAGACTATGAAAAAACAATTCATAATTTAGAATTGGAAAAGTCTCATTTATCAGTGACATTACATAGCTTAAACGAAAAATATAAAAATGAGATAATGATTTTAGATGAGTCTTACAAGTAAGTAAAAGCTTGTTATTATATTAAAATATTGACAATTCTTTTTCAAAAATTTTTTGTACAATTGTTCCAAAGGCGGCAAATAGGATTCTTGCAAGAAAGAACAGACACTTTGGAAAAGAGAATGCAACAAGAACTTGAGTGTTTAGAGGCAGATTATGAAGCAAAGATTGAAAAGCTGAAAAGTGATAAAGTACAAATTGAAACATTTTATAAAGAAGAAGTGCAGAATTTAAAGGCATAAAATTTTCTTAATACTTAAAAACTGTCACTGTGACATTGATTATATTGCTATAATTAAAATTAATGTTTAACATGATTTATTTTATTTAGAAAGAACATGCACAATTTATAGAAGAAATTTATGAACGTCATTTTCAAAACGTAAAACTGCTGCAAAAAGAGCATTTTGACACAATAGAAAACATATTAAAAATGAGAGAAGTAGAGAATTTAGCTATGACAACCATAGCGACCCATAAGACTGACTTGCAAGATTTGTTACAAAAAGCTGATTTTATTATAGAGAATATAAAAATTGTGCAAGAAAAGACTGATCAAAGAGACGATCAAAGTGTAAAGTTAAGAGAACATTATTTAAAAAATCAGGAGGAAGACATGCAAAGTATATTAAGATGCTGTTATTTAAATAATTTAAGTAATTTAAATAATTTAGTTTTTATTCACTTTATGTGCAATTTTATTACAGTACAAAATGTAGAAATCAAGAAGCAACAGAAATTATTGGAACAAGAATATGAGAAAATAATGAAAGTAGCAGATAGATTAGATTCGCACGTTACACAATTAATGCTCGAATTAGAGAAAAAAAGTGTCGAGCTTAATAAAGCATTGGAAACATTGCAAAAAAGAGAGCAATCTTTGTCACATGAAAAAGAATTGTTTGAGGAAAAAGTACAATGGGAGCGTAATCATTTACAGGTAAGTGATTATTTAGTATAGATAATTAATACTTGTGTGAATATTATATTTCATAAACTCTTATGTATTATGTACAATATATTATAAGGCTTTGAGAGAATCTTGGTTCAACGAACAAGAGAAACAACTGAAAACTTTAACGAAGGAGAAAGGAATGATAGCAGCTAAAAAGAAGCAATATGAAGTTTTAAAAACAATAAAAAGTAATTCGGATAATATTACAAAGATAGAGGTAAAAGAGTACATCTATGTGTGAATTGGAATGTATATTAGACAAATAAAAAAATTACTTTTTTTTTATAGTTAGCAGCTGCTATAAAAGCAGCACAAGATGCCACTATACTTGCAAATCAAGACCGATTGAAATGGCAAGAAAAAATTAAATATCTTGAAGTACAACAACAAGCCTTACAGGAAAGAGAATACCGGCTTTTAGCACGTGCCCAAGATCTCGATAGTTTTACACAGGTAATGATATTCAAATGTACATGCGATATAATCGATGTTAACACAATTAAATAATTATCTAGATCGCTTTTGAGAAAAATGAGGAAGCCGTTAAATCACTGAGAGATGCTCATCACATCGAAAGTGAGCATAAAACTAAATTTGATCCCCATTACAGGAAATTTGGGGAGTTCAATTTGGCAAGGTAATATTTTGAATCAATTTTAATAATATAAGTGTCAACATTTAAATAATTTTTAATTTTCTCAGTGAAAAATTGACTTTGGAGAAAATAAAAAAAAGTACAAATACCCCATATAATTACAAACGAACGTTATCTAATCAACATGAGTTTCAAGTTACTACTCATTTTACAGTAAGATGAAAATAATTTTGTAAATTAATTTTACAAGAAAATATATATATATATTAGATACACACACGCGCACACACGCGCACACACACACACACACACACACACACACACACACACACACACACACACACACACACACACACACACACACACACACACACACACACACACACACACACACACACACACACACACACATATATATATATTTAATTGTTTTTCAGGAAGTTGTTGATCCTCAATTAGTAATGTTGAAGTTGAATTTGGATGATCAGTTGGATAATATTCAATATACATGACTGCCATGAAATTTTGATACAACACATTTGACATATACAATATCTATGACATACTTTTTGTATATATGTGTGAAAACTGTGTTTAATATGTTATATGTATATTATGACTAATAGACAATAAATGTGCACGTTAATATATTTATTACATGATAGTTGAACTGCTATCTGTTGACTCGTTGATGTTGGTTAAATTTATACTTCCATCTGAAAATAATCTTTAGTTGCTATATATCCTGATTACATTAAGTTGAAATATTTCTCTTATCATTATAAATGTACATTATCTAAAGCTACAGATATTGGCTATATTTAACAGAAATAGTTTAATTCCTTATGGATCTAAATGTATAAACCAATCATATTGAAGAATTTTACAACAATTATAAAATTGCTCTTTCTGCTAAACACAGCTATTATTACTTTAATGTTCAATAAAAAGCAAATTACTAATATTTTTATTAAGTGTTGATTAAAAATAAAACATACCTTCAGTATTACTACTACTATCTAAGAGATGTTTGAGTGCTACTATATTTTCCTTCAATGTTTCCAGCTGGGCAATACTACACTTTGTTTGATATAATTTGTTTCCTACAACTTCTGTACACATTGTCTAAAAGATTAGAAAAAGCATTAGCATACTTAAGAATATTTTTTATCTTCAGTACTTAGATAATTTTCAATATTTTACCACATCTTGAATCAATTTTAAAGGATCCACATTATTTTCTTTAACATTAGTGAGTGCTTTGTGTATATCTCCTATATTATTCAAGAATTCAATCGCATCAATGAACATTGTTGTCATATCTCTGAAAAAGAGTATTAAAATTTTGTAGTATATATGTACATTTAAAAATAAAAAGGTATAAGATTCATATATACTGTGCATAATCATGTGATACAGGCAAGCCTGAAATATTGTTTGTAGAGTGTATAATTTTATGTATAGAGTGCTTGTGTGACGTAATCATATTGAGATGTTTTGTGACGTTCTCCTTGCATTGTTCTCTCTCTCCTATAAACAATAGATTTATGCATTATATAATGTCAATAGCAAAACAATTCCAATTATAAACAATCTGGAACAGCTTACTTCTCAAGTCTTGCAATTCTTTTATTAACTTCCTATGCTCACTAGGCTCTACATCGAGATGTTCTAATTCTCGGTGATCAGCACACCTTTTCTGTTGTACAACTCTTATAAAACGTTCTATATCTTCCATGTCGCAGATCACGCACTAGTGTGCACTAGAAATAAAATGCAAAACAAGTTTCAAAAAATATCTCTATCACAAAATAATTACTTTTCAAATATATCTCTCAAAAGATCTGTCGATTTCATTTTAAAGAACTTTTCAAACAAACTTATATAGCCCTGCGCACAATCGGTACAATAAAGGAAACTAGTTTTGACCACTAGAGAAAACAAACCTAAGGCTGGGTTTATGCTTCGGATCTTAATCCTAAGATCCTAAAATTCAACCAATAAAGCTGCCAGTTCTAACCGAAATTTGAATTCTATTGGCTGAATTTTAGGATTTTAGGGTTAAGATCGAAGCATAAACCAGGCATTAAGGCCTAATATTCTGTGTACAATAGAAAAAATATTGGCTGCGTTCAGCAGAGAAAGCAGCTTTGCAACTGTTGTAAAATTCTTGAATATGATTCCCGCGAAAAAAAAGTTTATATATTCTAAATAAAAGTCTTATAAGTTCTTTATAAAGATTTCATCAAAATTCATATAAAAAAGAATTTATAAAGTCTTTATATAATCTTATAAATAAATGCATATTTGTATCTATATATTTTTAATATAGTTTATATTATAAACTTATTTAAGTTTAATAAATCCTTATTAAATCTTATTAAAGTCCAATTTATATAATGTAATTAAATCTTAATAAGTTTTTAATAAGAGTTGAATTAATATGTTTTAATAATATGCATGGTCTTAACGCAAGTTTTAATAAGTTGAATTAATAACTTAATATGGATCATTATATGGTCCAAATTAAATCTATATAAAGTTTTAATAAAACCACATTTATTGGAATCGTTATTAAGTATTATATTAAGTTTTAATAAAATTTATATTTAATTATATTAAATCTTTATATATATTTTTGTTTCGCGGGTTGGTTCATACATTTAGGTTCAATAAGGAACTTTAGACAATTCCGCAACAGGCCACTTTCACTTTTTACCAAGTTTATACAGGGGATTGATTCTGGTATCTTGAAACAAGGTGAAAATTGCAATGAAGCGAATTTTTACTAGAACATTTATAATTTCATTGGTCAATACCTAGTAATGCCTGGTTTATGCTTCGGTCTTAAGGACTTAATCCTAAAATTCAGCCAATAGAGTACAAATTTCGGTTAGAACTGGCAGCTTAATTGGTTGAATTTTAGGATCTTGGGATTAAGACCTGGAGCATAAACCAGGCATAAATTTGCTCACTTTTGTAATTTTCACTTTGTTTCGAGCTACAGAATCGACCCCCAGATTCGACTTCCTGAATATTTTCGATATTTTTATATCGAGTTGTGAAATATCGAACATTCGATATTCAATTATCGAATGGCGATAAACATGTCTATCTAACGTGAATTGACGTGATTTGCGTGAATTGAAACTGACAACTGTATTCGTATTGAACTGTATGTGGTTGAACAGTGTAATTTTTTGACATCAGCCAAGCTACTTTTGTGCGCGTGTTCGTAGATATTCTGAAAGAGAGGAAACGGAAATGAGCAGTGCAATTATGTAAATACGTTTACTCGCTCCTGATCCTTCGATCATGGATACATGTATTTCAATGATGCATCCTGCCTCGATGATACGGTGACATTAATAGCGTCATTGCAGCTTGATGCAAATGTTACAATTGTCATAATGCGTAGAAATATAAATAAAACCTGCGACGTCGGCGAATAGACGTTGCGTGACGTTGCGCGTATTCAGTAATTGGATACATAGGATGGCCCGTCATTAATGTTCAGCGATGCTCATGATCCTTATCGACTTTGTATTATTTAACGACTTTGTATCTCTTCGCGTCTAATTGTACCATGATGGGAATATTGTATGAGAAAAGGCCGCTGAAAAGGCCAAGATTGGGTCCCCCAGATGTCTATCCTCAAGAGCTGAAGCAAAAGGAGGATGAGCTTTCGCTTACAAATGTGAAACATGGCTTTATGGCCACCACGACCCAGCTAACAGATGAATCTGGAACAGGCCGAAATTATAACGTCACTGCTGCTAAAGTTGGTGCATATTTCAACGCAATCCTTGCCAAGAAGGAAGAGCTTGCGACGATGCCTGACACTGGTAGGAAGAGGCAGCAAATCAATCCCAAGGACAATTTCTGGCCAGTAACAGCAAGGACAAAGAATGGTATTGAAGCATGGTTCAAGGATCTTTCAGGTAGCAAGCCATTAGTTGCTCTTGCGAAAAAAGCTCCAAACTTCAATAAAAAGGAGGAGATTTTTATGATGCTTTGTGAGTATCAAGTACCAATGCTGAGGGCAGCTTGGTTTATCAAGCTTAGTTCTGCTTACACAGTTGCAGTCTCAGAAGCCAAGATAAAGAAGCGTCAGCTGCCTGATCCAACCACAGGTAAACTAATTCTATTTCTTGTTCATCAAGAAACTATTGATTAAAACAAAAATGTTAACGCAATTGAGAAATATGTAGAAAATAATATGAAGAGTTACTTAGATACTTGGATTATTAATATATGTTGTATTTTCATTAAATTTATTATATTACTTTTAGTATACTTAAATTTTATCTTTATATTTTGAAGAATATATTAAAAATATAGTTCTTTTTGTTATGGCAGAATGGACAGGTACTCTCATAAAATTTTTGAAAGACCAATTGTCTAAACTGCAAGAGTATTATCATATGGGCAATCATGTAGCTACTGGTAATAATAATAATAATAATAATATGACAAACAATTCCTGCAACAACAATGGGATTACTGGAACAAACAACAGCAGCAACAGCAACAGCAGCAGCAGCAGCAACAATAACAACAATAATAACAGTGTTAATAATAATAATTCAAGCAATAACACAAGCAATGGTTCTGCCAATAATCAACCATCCACACCTACCTCGAGCAGTCAATCTGCGACAGGTAGTACAATGAATGAGGAGCATAAATTAGCACTTAAACAATGGCATTATTGTGTACAATTGGCTAAATATATGTTTGAAGAAGGCTTATTGGATAGACAAGAATTGCTACAGTGGATTTTAGAATTGCTGGATAAGATTAGATCTTCTCCCTCAGAAGATGGCATATTGAAGCTTTTATTACCATTGGCTCTGCAATATTTAGAGGAGTTTATACAATCTGAATTATTAGCCAGACGATTGGCATATTTATGTTGTCGTAAGTTGGCACATATGTGCAATAATGTTGAGAGCAACAATAATCCACAGAGTCCGTCCATTACTAAAAATGAAGTTAATGGTAGCAAGGATACTGCTGTTGTTGTCCAAGGACCATTGAATGTCTTAACAGTTGCTTTTAATGATTATTTGACTTGTGCACATCACAGAGATGTAATTTACAGTTTATCTACTATAATACAGGTAAATAATAGTCTTATTATTCTAAATTGTATATTGTTAATTTATATAGTTTATCGTAAGAATTAATAATATTATATAAAAAAAATTATTGTATTACGTGATTAAGAAATTTATTAAATTTTAGGTTATAACATTAGAGTGTCCCACAGCATTGGTTTGGAACAGTGTTGGTGAAGGAAAGGCTCCCTCAGTTTTGAATGGATCGCCTTTAGATTATTTACCATGTCCTCCTGCAGCTTTGCCATGTCCACCCGCGAGTTCTGGTAATCCTACAATGAAACAGCTAAGAGTAGCACAAGAAAATATAAAAGCTCGATCTCAGGCAGCGGAAGGTAGATGGTCATGCGACAAGTGGCAGCAAAGCAGCGCTGGAACAACAACTACCAAAGTGTTAGCTGCATTAGATGCTCTTGACCGACACAGTTTTGATAAAATGGACGCTTCTAATTCGCTTGATACCTTGTATACAAAAATCTTTACACCGCCTCCAAAAGATAATTCTAGTGAACGTGACACAAAAACAGAATATAATCCACAACAGGATTCAGCAGTAGTTGAAATTCTGTGCGAATGGGCTGTAAGTGCTGAACGTTGGGGAGAACATAGGGCGATGGCGGTTGCTAAACTTCTCGAAAAAAGACAGAGTGAAGCTACTGGCGAGACTAACGATAATGATGATAAAGACAGCACGTGTAGTAATGGAAGTCCACCTGTGCTTCCAATTTTTCAACCGTTGCTTATGAAGTTCTTAGATGTGGACGCACCGGTACTCGATAATACTTCGAATCAATCTAAGGCTCAATTTACAAACTTAGTTCATCTGTTCTCAGAATTAATAAGGCATGATGTTTTTTCACATGATGCATATATGTGCACTCTTATTTCAAGAGGTGATCTTATACAAGGTATATATATTTATATAATAATATATATTTTATAACTTATGTAAAAAATATTACTTAAATATTTTAACACAATTTATAAAAAATAATTGTAATTGAGAAAGAGAGAGAGAAAGAGAGAATGATGTGAATTTACATTTTAAAATTAAAATGAGATGTGTTCTAAGTATATTTAATGTAATTATTTGTCGCAAGAGATGCTATAACATTATATTAAAAGTAAGTCATAAAGATATTTCAAATACAAGCATTAAGATTCAGTTGTCTTATTATAAGATTAACTTTAATCTTTGTTTAATTTACTATTCTAACTACTTATTCTTTATCTTTTTCTAACTCTTAGAAATAAATATAGAGCAAGTTTAATTGAGATTAACGTTAATTTTATATTAGTGGTATCGGGGCTAAATGATTCATTCCCGGTATCAATTACAAATATTCTAAACATTTTGACAAATTTGCCTATATAATTATGAAATTACTTAATTTTAATTAGGCCCAGTAGCTAGCAAACCCGGTACACCTAGCAACAGAGAACCAATCGATGAAGATAGTCTTTTTCCGGGTATAGATTTAAAGCCGACTAAATTGGAAGTATCAGATCACGGACGTACTATGGATTATGATGACAGTAAAATCGATGACGATTTAGATAAAATATTGCAACATATTAAAGAAGATCAACAAAATAGCATGGATGCACCAGATAGTCCCAAAGAGGATGCACTGACTGGTCACGGAGGTCATGAAAGTCTCGATTCAAAAATGCCATCGAGTCATAGTAGACATTTATTGTACACCACTCATTTTCCGCTACCACAAGTAATTTTTTAAATATATTTTTTTATATTAAATAAAATTTAAATGAATTTTTAAGTTTAATTAGTTGACATACACCCATATCTTTATAATAATACTTCTGAAATTTCTTATTTTGTTGTATTATTAGATATAGATTATAAACATTTACTACAGTATT